AGCCATTCAGCGGCAGTATAATTGCCTCGCAGTTGGAGGTTTGTTCTAGTCGGCTACTGTTATTCTTTGAGGAGGATTTGTTGGTTTGCTGCTGCTACCTAGAATCAAGCGATGCAAATAAGCTTGCGGAGGGAACGTTTGTTTTCCTCTCAAGCCCCCACGAGGGAAGCCCCTGAAAGCGCTGGGACATTTGTGAAACCTCTGAGATTCCAACAAAAAATCCCTCAAGTGCTGAGCAAGCACCCGGCATGAGACACAAGCAGTTCATTGCAGGATCCCAGTTTCCCCTAGCCTTTGCTCATTGCCCCATGAAGGAAAAATAAACTCCCAAGTCTCAACGAGCCTGTTAGGCCTTACTTCAGAGCTTCCCTTAAGCCCTCCTACTGTGCTAAAGAATAAGCTCTGCCAGTCAGTATGAAACATATAAATGCCTTTAAGTGTACTAGTAGCCTCTACCCAGCAGGAAACCTGGTCTAGAAGGAATCAGTTACAGGGTCTAATCAGGTTTCACAGGCTGATACTTGTGCAGAGGAAAAGATGCTGGGAAGACTTGAGAGAGCATAAAGGGCTTCGTATTCTCTACTGCTCTGAAAGCCCCTTCCAATTGTAACTCAGTAAAAGACTGTGCTTGCATTGGCAAATATGACAGATCAACTGGGATTTACCTACACAATATTTATAAACAGTAAAAAGAAGCCGGGCAAAAGGCTGCATGGTGCAGTCCTCCTATTCAGGATCATAGCCTGTATTTCTGCTTTTTTCCCTGCTTCGTGCACCTCCTCTGTTAGAGATCAGGAGGGTGGCAACACACCTTTTAATCGTGGCTGCCTGTTTGTAAACTGCTCTCCTGCCTGGTGCCTTCATTATTTAGGTGCCAGGTGAAAGTAAAATACCTAGGGGTAAACATAACAGCAAAAAATCTAAGTCTATTTAAGGATAACTATGAAAAATGTTGGACAGAAATTAAGAGAGACTTAGACAGTTGGTCAAAATTGAAACTTTCTTTGTTAGGCCGAATTGCTGCGATTAAGATGAATGTATTGCCAAGAATGTTGTTTTTATTTCAAACACTTCAGGTTTTGGACAAAATGGAGTGCTTTCAGAAGTGGCAGAGAGACATTTCGAAGTTTGTCTGGCAGGGCAAAAGCCCAGAATTAAGTTTAAGATACTAACTGATGCAAAACAAAGAGGGGCTTTTTGCCCTGCCGGACTTAAAGTTGTATTACGAAGCCGCAGCGTTCTGCTGGCTAAAAGATTGGCTACTTCTTGAAGACACTGATGTGTTAGATTTGGAAGGGTTTAACAATGTTTTTGGATGGCATGCATATTTATGGTATGACAAAGTTAAAGCAAATAAGGCCTTTAAGAACCATATTGTTAGAAAATCACTGTTTAATGTCTGGACAAAATATAAAGACTTGCTGGAAAATAAAACACCAAGGTGGCTTTCACCTTTGGAAGCTAAGGCCCGAAAAAGACCCAATATGGAGGCCAAATGGCCAAAATATTGGGAAATATTAGAAAAAAGATGGAGACAATTGGAAATTGCAGAGTTTGGAGAAAATGAAAGACAAAGTGCGAGATTGGTTACATTATGCTCAGATTAAAGAAGTTTTTAAAAATGACAAGAAACTAGGGTTCCAGGTGGAGAAATCGAAACTAGAAACAGAATTGTTAGAACCAAAGACTAAGATACTTTCAAGGATGTATAACTTGCTGTTGGAATGGAATACACAAGATGAAATGGTTAAATCGGCTATGATAAGGTGGGCACAGGATATTGGGCATAATATTATGTTTGAGGACTGGGAAAGGCTGTGGAGTAATGGATTGAAATTTACTGCATGTAATGCTTTGAAAGAAAATGTAATGAAAATGATTTATAGATGGTATATGACCCCAGTCAAACTTGCAAAAATTTACCACCTGTCTGATAACAAGTGTTGGAAATGTAAAGAGTGTGAAGGAACGTTCTTTCACCTCTGGTGGACCTGCCCTAAAGTGAAGGCGTTCTGGGAAATGATTTATAATGAATTGAAAAAGGTATTTAAATATACCTTCACTAAGAAACCAGAGGCTTTCCTTTTGGGTATTGTCAGCCAAGGGGTGGCAAAGAAGGACCAAACATTTTTATGTATGCAACAACAGCAGCAAGGATACTACTCGCAAAACATTGGAAAACTCAAGATCTACCCACACTGGAAGAATGGCAGATGCAACTGATAGACTATATGCAACTGGCTGAAATGACTGGCAGAATCCGTGACCTGGGAGAAGAGAGAATCGAGGAGGATTGGAAGAAATTTAAGAACTACCTACAAAAACATTGTGATTTGACTGAATGCTGAATAAGATGCTTGACTAAATAACTGAGCACCACTTAACCTAGAAGTTTTTAAGAAAATAAGAAAAACTGTGAAAGTTTAACTCTTTATGAGAACTATAAGATTACGAAATATCGAAGAGATATAAGAATTTAAATAAGATGATAAATCGCTGACAAAATGTTATAATGATGAAGGTGGGAGCGGGAGATGTGAGGAAGTCCAAAGAAAATGTGAAATTATGTTAAGACGAATGTTATATTGTTTATTACATTTATTCCTATTGTAAAATCCAATAAATTGCTTTAAAAAAAAAAAAAAATATTTAGGTGCCAGGTGAAAACATATCTCTATAACTAGGACTTTGGCTTTCGGCTGATTAACATTCTACAGCCTTTTAAATGTCTATAACAAAATAAAGGGACACGGGTGGCGCTGTGGGTTAAACCACAGAGCCTAGGACATGCCGATCAGAAGGTCGGCAGTTCGAATCCCCATGATGGGGTGAGCTCCCGTTGCTCGGTCCCTGCTCCTGCCAACCTAGCAGTTTGAAAGCACATCAAAGTGCAAGTAGATAAATAGGTACCGCTCCAGCGGGAAGGTAAACGGCGTTTCCATGCGCTGCTCTGGTTCGCCAGAAGCGGTTTAGTCATGCTGGCCACATGACCTGGAAGTTGTACGCCGGCTTCCTCAGCCAATAAAGCGAGATGAGCGCCGCAACCCCAGAGTCGGCCACGACTGGACCTAATGGTCAGGGGTCCCTTTACCTTTCACAAAATAAAATATAAAAATTATTTCCATACCAAAAGAAAATTAAATAGATTAATACCTCAAGGTTCCAAGGAACACAGATGGGTTTACATCACCCTGTGCCAACACAATTGCGGACATTTGATCTTTACTGAGTGCTCTTTGAAACAGGGCCCCCAGCACACTAAGGTGTGGTGGGTCCAGACATCAGGCTGCCTCTCCGCATGAGGAGGTGCCATGGTGGGTGCCACTTCCATTGACTTGTGGCCTGTGAACAAAGGAGGGATGTGGGAACATGTGGAAATAACACTGGCCTCTGCGGTGTGGGGGTACTGTGAGAGTAGGGGAAGAGACCAATGAAGGGGGCTGCTGAGGTCTGTTAGGGCATCAGCTGAAAAGTGAGTCTCCCCCTGTCTCTGCCATGGGGATGGATGGGGAGCACACCCAGACAACTGTTAGCTTATTGAGCGTCATGGCGTGATGGGGCCTACAGGTTGATAGGAGCTACTTCTGCTACTTGTGCTCAGCAAAGCTGAGGGGCTAAGTGAAAAGAAATTTGGAGCGGCCTCCTTTGTTACGCAGTGATGTACCATGGGTTGCCAAGCGCCCGGGGCTACTTGGAAGGAAGAAGTGGGGGGATGATAGAGTAAGCATGTGCATTCAACTGCCCAACGGCGTCCACATTACTCAGGAGATTGTAGCCACATAAATAAGAAAAGAAGAGTCGTTCCGTTGTCTGGGGAGGTCACTACCTGGTTCGCATGCAGAAGCTGTTTTCAAAGGAGCCCAGTGATGGAAGTGCGTAGCTGCATTGAGGCAGCACTGAGTGTTGAAATTCTATGCCCCCTAACAATTTTGTGCCTTGGGCAACTGCCCCTGTGGACCCCCACACTATGCTACTGTATCTATCAGGTGGTTCAGCTGCTGCTGCTTTCTCCATAGTTGTGTGTCTGCACTGGTGAGCCCTCTGTGTATCCTTGAAGGCCAGAGCACTGACTCCCTTACAGCATGCAGGACTCACGGCTGGGAGGTAGCATTGGTGTTGAGGAGCTCCAGCATTTCCCTACTTTCTGTAAAGAGCAAATCATGGACACCTGTTATATCAAGACAGGAATTGTCTCCCACAGAACAGGGGCCACCACCCAGAAAGCCCTGCCCTCAGTTACTGAGGAGCAAGCTTCTGATATCTTTGGGAACGCTCACAGTGACCTGCTGGGTACATAAGGCGGTCTCTCAAACCTGTGTGCATATAGGAGGATGTCAATGTGTTTATCAAAATTAAGCATACAAAATTTTGATTTGCATATATTAATGACACTGTTGTTTCAAACAGAAAACAGCCCTTAAAAATGATGTTGAGGCATGCATACATGTCTTAAGCAAACTGTAGAAAAAACTATCTGGCAGATTTTCATAATAATTTTTTTAGAAGTTCGTTGACTGAAGACTATTCCAACAGAAACACATATGAAACGATAAAGTTCCATTGGGAGGAATTATTAAGAGTAAATGACTCGGTGGAATTACACTATTTCCCAAGATTTACTATTAAGCAGATCTCTCTCTGACTTTATCTACAAGAGCACTTCAATGCTGTGTTCTGGTTTTCTTGGAATAATTTGACATATGGCTCTAGGTAATAAAATAATGGGCTGGCCCAACTTGTTATCTGTTCCTGCTGCTTCAGGATGACTTTTAGATTTTACGTTCTTCTTTTTTTGCTCATTTTCTACTGGTGGCATGTTATGAATAAATGAGCCTGCATTATAGATGAAAATATATTCTTCTCAACTGAAAATCATAATTGAGAGTGGAAGAGACTGGAAAATGGAGGTGGGGGGGGGGGAGAGAAACCACCTCACTACCAAGAATGAGTTCACTTCAAAAGCAAAAGTTTCTGATAATAGGGACTGAATAGAATATTGCTCCTCAAATAGCTCAGTTGGTAGAACATGAGACTCTTAATTTCAGGGTTGTGGGTTCGAGCCCCATGTTGGGTGAATGATTCCTGCATTGCAGGGGGTTGGACTAGATTATTCTTGTGGCCCCTTCCAGCCCTATGGTTTTATGATTCTATGATTCTATACGCTGTTGTGGTTAGGATCTGAGAAATCAGGGTTCAAATTCCATGAAGTTCACTAGATGATCTTTGCCCAGTCATAGTCTCTTAGCCTAACCTACCTCTTAGAGTTGTTGTGAAGATAAAATAGGGAGAGGTAGAACCATGTACTCCTTGAGCTCCTTGAAAAAGAGATGGGAAACAAATTCAATAATAGGTGAATCATATTCAGCGGAACATTTTCTGGAAGTGAACAAATAACTCTAGAAAAGAAAGTTTTGGTGAGATTTGGCTCAGTTTGAAACTAGCCATTAACTGGGGTCATTTGTACTCTGAAATCCCCAGGGTTGCATTTTTTGAACAGTCATAATGAAAACACACAGAACAAGCTGTTTAACATTCTTGAGATAGAAATTAGTGTAGAAAGTATGGCAAGGTATGATAAGCTTTTCATGCCAAGTGTAGGGCTCACCAAATCTATCACGATGAGCCCCCTCTTCAAGCATCTTGTTTTTTTGTAGACTTTTGCCACTCTTCTCCTAGCCCTGCTTCCAAATCCACGATCCTCTGCACACATAATAATAATAATAATAATAATAATAATAATAATAATAATTTGTTATTTATACCCTGCCCATCTGGTTGGGTTTCCCCAGCCACTCTAGGCAGCTTCAAACAAAACATAGAAAACACAATCAAACAATCGAACATTAAAAACTTCCCTAAACAGGGCTGCCTTCAGATGTCTTCTAAGTTGTTTATTTCCTAGACACCTGATGGGAGGGCATTCCACAGGGCAGGTGCCACTACCGAGAAGGCCCTCTGCCTGGTTAACTGTAAGCTCAATTCTCGCAGGGAGGGAACCGCCAGAAGGCCTTCGGCACTGGATCTCATTGTTCAGGTTGAATGATGGGGGTGGAGATGCTCCTTCAGGTATACTGGGCTGAGACCGTTTAAGTCTTTAAAGGTCAGCACCAACACTTTGAATTGTGCTCGGAAACGTACTGGGAGCCAATGTAGGTCTTTCAGGACCAGTGTTATATGGTCTCGGCAGCCACTCCCAGACACCAGTCTAATTGTCGCATTCTGGATTAGTTGTAGTTTCCGGTCACCTTCAAAGGTAGCCCCACATAGAGCGCATTGCAGTAGTCTGAGCAGGAGATAACTAGAGTTTGCACCACTCTGGAGAGACAGTCTGTGGGCAGGTAGGGTCTCAGCCTGCGTACCAGATGGAGCTGGTAGACAGCTGCCCTGGACACAGAACTGGCCTGCACCTCCATTATTATTACAATTATATCTGACCATTTTGTCCAAGGAGGTCAAGGTGCGGCACACACTATTTTATTCTCCCAATAATCCTGAGATACAGGGTTAAGCTGAGATACAGTGACTGGATGGGAAACTGAACCCTGGTCTCCCCAGGTCCAAATCCACCACTCTAACCACTACACCACACCAACTGTCCAATAGTGTGCTGGTTGTTAAACCAGCATAGTTTTTATGTCAACAGCTCTTGAAGAATTGAGCTTAAGCCAGCTCAGGATCTACTTCATACCTGGGATGCAAAATCTGGTTTCATTCCCCTCCATTTTTCTTTTGTTATCATCGTTATTTTTGAGGAAGCCGGTAAGAGGTTTCACCGATCTCTTTGGAAGGGCTGCTATTTGATATTCCTTCCAGCTTTTGATGTACAGTCTCTGTGATAGTATTTGGAAGATCAATTTGATAAGAGCTACTCCCTTCTCTAGCTTCTGCCGCTATCCCAGGCAAGCCCAAACTTGCCCATCTCCAGTGCTGTGATATATCAGCAGGGCTTGATCCATTATTTTCACTGCTGCAAATGATACTTGGCTGAAATAAATCTGTGGCATTGGCTAGCTCCTGAATGTGAGCTGATAATTGATAGTGGGAGGGGTGCTGCTAGACTCAATCCCTGCATGTCCATGTTGGCTTTCCCAGCTCTTTTGCCCCTCTTCACATACAGGGGGTTAAAGAGAGGTGAGCCACTAGTGCAGGCTGCCTTCAGCCATCTCTCAGGACCAATTAATGTGACCCTACGCAGGACAGCAAAGTGTGTTGCAGCATGTGGCAGCGCAATAAAATGGAACAGAGAAAGGAACAAAGGAGTGAATTTGGCATAGGTATCCAAAGTGTGTGGCAGGATTCTGAAAGCACGAGATTGCCCTAAAATCTCTTGACTTCTTGGTAAATTGAATTAAAATTGGTGACCAGTGGCACTTTATGTAACTGTATAGTGTTATCCCATTTAGCCACCAAGTACATGCGGCACCATAAAGAAGGCCTATTTGTGGCCTTTTTAGATCCTAAGGCTGCTTTTGACTCAGTCGACAGGGGGCTGTTATGGTCCAAACTGGAGACAATGGACTTAGACCCCAGGATATTTTACCTGATTAAAAAGCTTTACTCAAATAATACCTGTCGTATAAGAATAACTCCAGGGGACGAGGTGTCAGACCCTGTTGCTACAAATCGAGGTGTGAAACAGGGCTGTGTTCTTGCTCCCTCTCTTTTTAATCTCTTCTTAAATGACCTTGCCCCATTACTAAAACTGGTAGATGCTTGTCATGTGACAACAATGCTCACAGCCCAAAACTCAATGCATCAAAAATTCCTATTCTCCTATATGCAAATGATATGATTCTCCTCTCACAGACTAGAATCGGCTTAAAGCGTTTGTTAAATGCCTGCGTTGACTATCTGTCTAGTATGAAAATGAGTATGAATTTTGATACAAGCAATAAATAAATTAAATAAATATTGGTGACCAGTGAGCATAGGAGCCAACTCCATAGGGCTGAGGTTTCCCCAATCTGTTGGGACAGGGCAGAGTCCCCCACCCCCACAATCTTGAGCAGCCAGGCCTCGCAATGGAGGGCCTCGCAACAGAGGCAGAGGACCTTGCAGGGCCTCATGGCACGCATCACAGTGCGTGTGATGTCACAAGTGTACATTGTGTGCCTGACATCACATGTGCGTGACGCCCCATGCTCCCCATGTTGGGTGGAATCTGGTGCCTCTGCCAGTGAGATACCCATAGCTAATTTTGAAAGTGGAGTCAGCAAGAAAAGAAAGAAAATATCCTCCTTTCTGAGCCCAGTTCTGAAAGCTGGGTCATGTGCTCTGGATGATACAATACAGGCTTCGAGGAGGCAGAAAGTTCTCTCCTAAATCCCACCCATGGGGCCCCTAATTTAGGCCCAACTTCCCAGTGGCGTAGCGTGGGGGGTGCAGGGGGGGCCGGCCACACCGGGCGCAACATCTGGGGGTTAGGGGGCGCAAATCCACGGGTTAGGGGGCACAAATTACTTGCCTTGCCCCGGGTGCTGACAACCCACGCTACGCCACTACAACTTCCCACTTGCCTAGTCCCACTTTTCCTTATGGCACCCCTATTTTCATCAGAGAAATGTTGGAGGGTATGGAGTAATGTTACCCCGAAGCCAAGGAGATAAGTAATGATACAACCTATAGAAGACATCTGAAGGGAGCCCTGTATAGGGAAGTTTTAAAATGTTTAATGTTTTATTATGTTTTCATATATGTTGGAAGCCGCCCAGAGTGGCTGGGCGACCCGGTCAGATGGGTGGGGTATTATTATTTATTATTATTATTATTATTATTATTATTATATAGGACATCTCTATTTTCATTGGAGAAATGTCAGAGGATATACTAGCCTGGTGGTAGCACAGCAAATTTGTGAGAAGCATTTGTTGCTATGACATCCCTCCCAGAGCTACAATTCCCAATGCCCTTAACAAGTTAGAGTTACCCAGGATTCTTTGGGGGGAGGCCATTAGTGTTGAAGTGCTATAACCGTGTTTTAAATATATGGTATTAATGTGACCATGGTCTCAGTCAGATTTAAATGACTGATCTTTGCCATGACTTGGTATTTGGCAATGGTGAGAATGCAACTCACCTGGAAATGGTTCCCATCTCCCATTAGATGATGGAAGTTCTCCTCTCTCGCCATGTTCCTCCAGCCAGGAAGTGTTCCTCTGAACTTCAAGGATATATGAGCCTTTCATCAAAAGTACAGTGGTACCTCGGGTTACATACGCTTCAGGTTACAGACTCTGTTAACCCAGAAATAGTACCTTGGGTTAAGAACTTTGCTTCAGGATGAGAACAGAAATTGTGTTCTGGCGGCGCGGCAGCAGCAGAAGGCCCCATTAGCTAAAGTGGTGCTTCAGGTTAAGAACAGTTTCAGGTTAAGAACGGACCTCCGGAATGAATTAAGTACTTAACCCGAGGTACCACTGTATAGCATTGCAGCATGAGCTAGGCAGTGTGCCAGTAGATCAGCTTTCTTCTCTTTTAAAACAACATGATGCTTATTCAAATCTAGAAAATAATCTGATTTTAACCCTGGCTGTTGTGTGCTACACAAATGCTTGACATGACCTGGCAATTGCTATTTATGCCAATTAATTTCTTTTTTTAAAAAAATGATTGTTTTCCTTCTTTTAAATGAGGTTCTAAAGAGAGAGAAAGTAGGCCAGGATGGAATTCAAACGAGGGTAGCAAACAGCACTTGCAAGTTAGGTGACGACATCTGTCTGAGCAATTACAAATTGGGTGAAGATATATTTCACAACAATTTGGAAACTTCATCTTGCAAGAACACAAGCCAAAATACAAAAGGTCCTGGAAGGAATCTTGCGTCAGTGGGTGGAAATTTCTCATGAAGGACTCACAGCAACATTAATCGAGAGGCACATATTGTATGGCCTGAACCCCCTGGAAAGCTGTTGTGCAGATTGTTCTGTACCAGTGCTGGATTTATGTATAGGCTAAGTAGTGAATTGTAGAATTTTAAATACCTATCATCATCCTTGGCTTTTCCATTTTCTTCTAGTTGTGAGGATGGGGGATGGGGACGGGCCTCACAAGTGGGGTAGCCTAGGGTCTCTCTTCAT